TCTCTGAGATCCGCCTTCCACAGTGGATAGCTTATTAGACCAAAGGGAAACACCTTTCTGTGTCAAGCACAGATCTCAGGAACCCCCAAAACCCTCCTTGCCTCAGTCTCTCTTTATTCATATTCAGTCCTTGCACACAGCAAGTCACATGCTGAAGTCCTGAAGCCCCTCAATTCACAGAGGGAAGCAAAGAGACAAAGGGAATGAAACACTCTGTTTAGAATAGTCAAATCTGCACTAATCCCAACATATCTGGGTTACAGGAGCATGTTCTGTGTAGACTCTGCAGCATCTAGACTCACTCATTTCTTCTCCAATGCTTCACAGCTTAAGTGCAATTGTCCAGGCTTCCTTTTCTACTCCAGGGAGAGAAATGAGTTGTCTCAGCTGAGATGCTTTAGCCTACCCTTCCTGTGCAGCAGCTCCTGCTCCAGAAAGACTTCCATTAGCTCTGGGTCACATTTCCCAGTCCCATGTAGGAGCTTCAACTACTCCTGGGAATCTTGGAAGCAGTGGCCACCTCTTTGTGGACAACTGCTTCAAGCACTGCCTGAAGATATTAGGCAGATGTTGAAACATTTGCAGAAAAGATCTTGGTGTCATAAGTGTATAGGAAGTCTTCATTTTCAGAATTTTGGTGCTGATCTGTAAAATGTCATGATTTTTTCATAGGCCATGGACATGAACCAGCAAGCTGATGACACCTTCTCTCCGTCTGTGTAAATAAACATTTATACATCTAGTCCCTTTCGACTGGTAGCATTTGAGTTTGCTCATGTAGCTCCTGATTTGATTCCTACCCACCTTTGGCTGTTTACCTCCAAGTCCTGCCTTGAGGCATAAAGGCCTGAGAGAACTTGTGGGTGAAATATGAAGCAAAGAGGATATGAAGTATCTCAGCTCTATCTCCACCTACTCTTACTAAATTCAGCTGTGACCACACATGATCTTTATTTCTTCTTTAACTGTTCCTGAAGTAGTAATAGCTTATTATGATGCCCTTGAATTCCCTTTCAAGTTTCATCTGAGTTCTGATAGAGATGTTTTCTCTGCTTGGAGGATATTCTCCTTGAATACCAGCTGTACTGAGCTCTGCTGCCCTTCAGTGCTGCTGACCATGAGGTCTTCACTACAATTCCCCATTATAGGTAAAGTCTTCTCCACTGATGTCCGGCATCTGCAGTCTTCTGTTTTCCTTCCCACTATTTCAGCGTCACAGCTGTCAGTCTTCACACCCCTCTTCCTTGTTTGCAAGTACCAGATCCAGGTTTGTGTGAAACTTGGTAGCCCATCTTGCAGCTGTGCTAAGAAGTTCTCCCCAGACACTCCGGAAACTGCCTGGACTGTTTGCATGCTGCTGTGTTCCTCTTCCAGAAAATGCCATGCTTATTAAAGTCCTAAGTGAAGCCCAGGTTTCTACATCCAGAGACTTCCTTGGAGTGCTTAGAAAAGGTTGCCCACTTCCCCACTCTGACTGTGGGTTCCTCATCTCCCACCACAATATCCCCTTTACTGGCCCTCTCCTCTCATCCTCACTCACAGGGACTCACCACACTTTTCACTTGCCCCATCAAGCTGCTCCACACATCCAGGAAGCCTTGTCGCTTAGAGAGATACCCCATTCCTGATCCTTCCAGCCTGTCAGTCTGTAAAAGCCTGTACTCACCCATTGCAGCACCCCAAGCTGTGCCACTTGTTCTCCCATGCCTTGACAGTTATTCCATGGATGTCAAAAAGCCCAGGCTCCAGCCCGTCCTGGCTGTGCTCCTAGCTGAGGGTGTCAGTGCACATGTGGGCTGCAGCACCACAGGTGTAGCACCAGGCCAAGCTCTGACTTGTCTGAGAGAAAGCTGGCACCAAGCGCCCAACTCCCCCTGTGCGCAAAGGCTTTGCTTCAGAGCAGAGACATTCTAGAGTGGTTGGCAGATGGAACAAGAAAGCTCTCTCTGAATGGAGATGGCTTTCCTGTGCTGTACCTGCCAGCCACATGTAGCTGTGGGTGAGAGCCTTGGCATCTCACAGAACACTGCAGGCCTCTATTAGGACATCAAATAGAATAACTACCCAGAATTTGATAGGGCAATGTAGGGATGAGAATGGTCATTACAGTCATGGTCAACCCAGCTGATGGAAAAGAGAAACGTCACTTTGCCTATAATACAGGATGTCATTTGGTCAGATGGCAGCATCGGCTGCCAAGGAAATAGTAAATAAGGACAAGCGCAGTTGTTTTGCACATGACTTGGACAACCTCTGGCACCTCAGACGTCACCAGGTATTTAACCTGAACAACCAACTCCTGACCTACGCCTTCATTAATTCCCATGGGAGCTGAGACAAGGAACTCACACGCAGGTGTCCATATAATGCATGCCTGAACTGAGGCAGGATGAATCCCACCTCCTGAATGTTTGTGACAGTCATGGGAGGGAGCTGAGTCCTCTTCCAGTGCTAGCAATAGAAATGCAGAATGAGATGCCTCAACTGACTCAGCTGAATCCCTTCCCTCAACAAGGGTAAAGAAGATTCTTGCCTGTCATTATCTGCTTGCCCTGCCTAATAAGAAGATAAAAAAGGTATTTTTTAGATCTAACGCTGTCTCTGATAGGAGAAATGCCACAGCTGAAACTAAGTGTCACTCTCCAGCTGAGGGAGGGAATATCAGTGATTGCTTCAGGCTGTTTCACAGCAGGTTACCCTGGAGCCCCAGGGACACCTGGAGAGAGCCCAGAGAGGGCAGAGACAGTGACACCCTGGGCTGGTCCTCTACTGCTGAGCTGGACCGGGCACCTGGAATGGAGGGAGCTCATGGCAAGCGGGCAGAGCTGTCTCTCTGCAGCGCTACCTTTTTTTTTTACTTGCCATGACCTACCTGTGTGAGCTCCCTGTCCAGGAGGCATTCCTCTGCAAAGCCCAGCAGGGCTGAGGGCACTGCCTGCAGGCACGAAGGGTTGATGGGCCAGGCAGAGAGAGGTTAAAAGTAGCCTGGGTGTCATGAAAATGAATGGTTTGGATTGCTAAAGAATCACTGTCAAATGCATTAGCAAAAGTGATTTTAATATGATGTTGTAAAAGTGCGAATTAACAGAGTTGGATGGCAAGAATCACAGAATGTTAGGGATTGAAAGGGACCTCAAAGGATCATCTAGTCCAATCCCCCTGCCGGAGCAGGACCACCTAGATCAGATCACACAAGAACACATCCAGGTGGGTTTTGAACATTTCCGGAGAAGGAGACTCCACAACCTCTCTGGGCAGCCTGTTCCAGTGTTCTGTTACCCTTACCGGGAAGAAGTTCTTCCTCATGTTTAAGCGGAACCTCCTATGTTCCAGCTTATATCCATTTCCCCTTGTCCTGTCATTGGATGCCAGTGAGAAGAGCCTGGCTTCATCCTCATGACATTCACCCTTTACATATTTTTTTTAAACATTAATGAGGTCCCCCCTCAGTCTCCTCTTCTCCAAGCTAAAGAGACCCAGCTCCCTCAGCCTTTCCTCATAAGGGAGATGTTCCACTCCCTTAATCATCTTTGTGGCCCTGCACTGGACTCTCTCTACGAGTTACTCCTCCTGTCATTGTTTGTGCCTTATTTGTGTGTGCAGATGAGCTTCTCATCACTGAACCTAACACAAGCTAAAAGGAACAGCAATCTCCTGGGGTGTCTGTGTTTGGAGGTTCCATACATATGCATTGGCATTATTTAACATATGACACCAGCTCATTGGAATTGCTGTCTAGAAAGTCATCCTGGTCAGGGGAAAAGCTGTGCTGTTGCACGGGCAATGGCTTCCTTCAGGGCCCGTAGCACAGTCTTGTTTCTAAGACTGTAGATGAAGGGATTTAAGAATGGGTACAGGACAGTGTTCAGTAAAGCTACAACTGTGTTTGCCTCCATGGAAACATCTTTGGAATGATGCACATAGAGAGCAATGCAGCTCCCATACACAATGGCCAAGGTGGTGAGATGGGAAGAACATGTAGTAAAAGCTTTTTTCCTCCCAGAGGCTGATGGCAGGTGTAGAATACAGAAAAGGATGCCCAAGTAAGATGCCAGAGTTCAACATAAGGAACTCAGTATGACACAGGATAAGATAACAGAGTCTGTTTTCCAAAACAGGCTGGTGTCAGAGCAGGACAATTTGAATAAGGGCGAGGTGTCACAAAAAAAATGGGGGATAGGACCGGACGGAAACTCGAGAGTGTGATGCCTGTGACCCAAACAGCAACAGCCAAGTGGATGCAGAGCTGAGGCTTCATGATGGCAGCGTAATGCAAACGCTGGCAGATGGCAACGTAGCAGTCAAAGGACATGATAACAAGTAGAACTGTTGTCTGTTCTGACAACAGTCTGTACTGACAACAAGTAGAACAAGATCTGTATAGCCCGGTGCAGAATAGAAATAGGATTGGGCAAAGCAGCTGCTTCGTGAGATTGTTCTCCTTCCAGAACTCAGGATCACCAACAATTCGATGCTTGTGGAGGATGCAAACCAGATTTCCAGGAAGGCCAGATTGCTGATGAAAAAGTACATGGGGGTTTGCAGGCGGTGATCCACACACACGAGGAAAATGATGGTTGTGTTCCTCATCACTGTTGTCAGGTACATGAGCAGAAGGACCAGAGAGAGAAATAGCTGTAGTCTTTGATCAAGCCCTGAGAAACCCTCTAGGACAAACTGAATAACTGAGAGAAATAGCTGTAGTCTTTGATCAAGCCCTGTGAGAAGCCCTCTAGGATGAACTCAGTAACTGCACTTTCATTCTCTGGTCCCAGGTTGAATTTCAGTTCATTCTGCTGAGACAGGAACATGGCAAAACCCGAGGGTGACAATTTCACAGTCTGGATGAAAAGTTCTCGCCTGCCTTCTCTGCTTCTTCCCTTGCTTCCCTGTCTTGCAGCCTGCCTACATGACACAGACAGAGAGAGTCCTTCAAGCATTTCTCACACCTGGATTTTTCTCTTTTATATCTCACTTAGAGTCCTCAGGGAATTTATTGTTGTCTTTCTGCCTTTTCAAACACTCACAAAGGATTCTTTGTCCAGAACAGAAGATTTTAAAGAGGCTGAGAGCTATTTCACTCTGTTCTTTGCAAATTCCAGATTCACTCAGACCTACTGCAAACATCTCTCACAGCGGTGTGCCAAACTCTTCTGTTGCACAAATGCTACACCATCAAATCAAATCAAATCAAATCAAATCAAATCAAATCAAATCAAATCAAATCAAATCAAATCAAATCAAATCAAATCAAATCAAATCAAATCAAATCAAATCAAATCAAATCAAATCAAATATGTATACTGAAAACTATTCCTTCTACTTTTCAGTACTTGCCTTTTTGGACTATGAATCCCTGAGAATCTGTTGATTTCAAAATAAATAATATCAAGTTTTTCTCTTGTAACCCCCTGCTTCCTTCCACAACTTCTTGTTCGCTGATTCTTCAAGAAAGGGTGGGGGATGTAGACTGGAGTAGGGACTTCAGTACTCTGAAACTCGCTGATTCTTCAAGAAAGGCTGGAGGATGAGGACCGGAGTAGGGACTTTAGTACTCTGAATAATGACTGAACTTTATGATGGCTCCACACAGTCTGTCACAAAGTCACATCTTGCACCCATCTGCACTCAAATGCAGTTGTTTCCAAACAGTTGCTCGTTGCTGTTACTATCAAACATCCTGACCTAACAGCAGAGCACGAGAATTTATCAAACATCCTGACCTAACAGCAGAGCACAAGAAGAGTGTCTGACAGACATTTGTCACCTTTCTTTTGCTCGCCAGCTCTGGGTTGGGAGGACCCAGCCTCCAGCATTTTCTCTTGTCTCCCTTGACTATGGAGGGAGCCTCGGGAAAACAAGGTCTCACAGGCACCTGCAGCAAAGTAGATGCAGCTCATTACTCAAGTCTCAAACCACTGATTTATTATTTTTTTAAAAACAAAATACACATCTGACAAAAGGAAACCCAAAAAAGCAAAGCTTCTCCACAGACTGTGCTGTCCTCTCAGACTCTGTCCAAGGACAGAATGGGCAGCACTTACCCAAGGAGTAAAATGGGAAGTTCAGTGCAGGGCAGTGCTCCATGTTTGCTTTGCAGTTTTAGCTTGGGGCACAGGGCAGTCTTAGATCCCAAATGCCCAGCTGGCTCTATACCTCTAGTCGGGCGTAGGGGAATCTCTGCACTGGGTTCGTCTGGAAAACTGTCTGAGACTAAACCACTGGCTGCGTTTGAGCAAAAGCTCAAGCTCAGTCACCTACAGCAGTATGAGTGTAGTGAACCAGTGAATCGGAGGTGACGGTCCCAGTTTCCATTTTCTGGGTCAGTGCAAACACTCACAGGGTTCTGTCTTCTTCCTCTGTTGGGTGACACTTAAATTATTGAAAATTGTTCTCCTGAACGCACTTTCTAAAGAGAACCTGTGAATTTGCAGACAGCTTACAACAAAGCAGCTTCTCTTCAGGCCCTGCATCGTCAAACATGCAGCTAGCACATGCAACAGTGAGTGAGGAAATCTAGGACATGCAGGTGAAGGATATCCAGGAGAAGAAGGCCTTCTTGTGGCTTTGCACAGGGATTATCCTCAGGATGGTGCATACGATGTAGGCAGAAACCACAGCAGTCAGTGTGAAGGAGCTCAGCAACACAGCAGAGGAGAGAGCAACGCTCATGTTTCATAGTAGCTGGTGCCCACATGGGCTGCTCTCAGCAAAGGGATGATGGTGCAGGAGAAGCAGTGTCTACATTGGGCACAGAGGGTTTAATGGCATACAAGATGGTGGGGCTGAGCAGGGATAGAGATGCTGTTTCCCAGCAGCTAAAGATGAGCATGGAGCACAACCAGGAGTTCATAAGGACAGAGCAGTGCGAGGGGTTGCAAATGGCCCTGCAGCAATCGAAACACATCACAACACACAGGTTGCACCCAGCTGTGCCCAGGAAGAAAAAGATGGTCTGGGACTTGTAAGCAGTCACAGGGATACATAGGTGTAGCATAGCAAGCAGATGGACTCTGCAGGATGCTAGGGATTGAATCTAAGTTTATTTTTTCTTTACCAAATTTATAGCATACAGAGCCCCTTTCCAGGCTCCAATCAACGGTAGAATCATGTATTTCTGTAATTTTAAGTCTTACACAGCAGTCCAAGTATGTACACAACCCCCTGTTTATGCCAGGGGTTCTTCTCATGGGATGTGCACGGCCTTGATGCCGACCTTGCTGTGTGCTTTCTTAGTCTCCGGAACATCTTGATATTATTGCAGGGCTTAGCGATGAACAACAGCCGTGAGAACCTTGTCTTTTCACAGAGCTCAGAATCCTTTTCTCTATCCACAGTTCCCCCTTTTTTTGTTTATAGGAACTCCGTTGATCACTAAAGCCACCGTGATGCGTGCTTCCACCTTTTGTGCTCGTCGTATTGCAGTCCAAGGAAACTGAAACAACACCAGAAATGAAATCAACAACAGCCTCCAATAGCAATAAGAATCTGCGTATATAAGTTAAGGTCAGAGAACCAATGTTTTTGATTAATCTAGGATAAATCTTAACTTGCGTAGTACAACTTAAAAGGATAGGATTTTCTAAAACCTACAATACTGTTAAAACAGAGGTTAATGCAAACACATAAGGATAAGAAGCACATATCACTACAGAGGTATTATGTAATAATGTTAAATTCGCTTCAGTGGTACTTTTTGTCATGTATACTAGAAACATCTGTCTGTCAAAAATAGCAAGGTTAATCTCTAAGTTTGCTCATGAACGGGGAATAAGACGCACTGTGTGTATCATTCGCAAAAGAGACCTGGAAGACCCCCACCATGTAATACTGATGGATGGCAGCCATGTGGAGCAGTAAAACAGCCTCATTACCATCCCAAAATACTCCATATGGTCCCCAATCTATAATCCAGTCTGTTAAATCATTTCATGTTCTTAGGGTTTTATTTTTTTGTTTGTTTGTTTGTTTGTTTTTGTGTTGTTTGTGGTGTGGTTGGTTTTTTTTTCTATTTTTTGTTGCTAACGTATTGTTCTGGTACAGCCTTGCAGAAGAAGTTACTGGCATATTGTTCCCCTTTCTGGGAATCTTACCATTTCAACTATGCCCAAGATTCTTCTGAGCAGGAGGGTGTCAATCAGCAGGGTCATTGCAGAGAAGGGAGGCAGGCACGGTTATCCACAAAGTGTGCTCTGTAGTCTCCTTCTTCTCCACTCTGAGCCATCTCTTTTACGCCCTCAACGCAGTCTATAAACAGAGCACTGATGCGGTGGTGTTGCACGCGTGGCCAGTGCATGCAACAAGGCTGCCCAGTATGTGCTCTGCTGGCTGACAGCAGCTTTTGCGGATCACAACATGTTGTTCAATAACAACCCTCCCAGCTTCTTTTTTCAAAAAAGAAGTACTCACAACTAAATCCAGTTTGTAATTCTTCGTCATTAATTTGATACCAGTCATTTTTTTTCCTTCCAGTAGCTATGGGTGGAATCCATACACCTTCTGACCGGAGAAAACACAGAAAGCATATATACAAGCAACTTTCACACACGTAATATACCAAATAATAAGAAACATAAAAACAGTTTATATATTAACATGAAGTCTTCTATTACGAGTCTTTTGAACCATTCTCCTCAATCGGCATTTCTGTGATCTCTGCTTGCTCTGCTAATTCTTGAATTTCCTTTTCCCTACCTGTAGTTTCGAAAATCCTGGCTGGCTTTACGTTTCTCGTCGGTAACCAGTATGGACCTGTGGGAAGAAGAACACAAGCACACCCTCTTCCCCATGTAAGCAGAGGCACAGGGCCATCCCATGAGTTGAGCCCAGTTCCTTATAATACACCATTGATTTTTCTACAAAAATGGCACTGGGTTTAAAATGACGATCCACAGCCGTAGTATGTTGCCTAGAAGCAGACAAATTAAGAACATTTAAAACATGCATAACCTTGTCTAAGGATTCTTGCAGGGAAATATACAGAAGGTTCCCCCTTTTTTGTTTATCAAGCATTTCTTATAACGTTAAATGAGTTCGTTCAATAACAGCTTGTCCCGTAGGCGAATGAGGGATACCATGGTTTTCTCCAGTGTGAGTAGTAGCAACAACAAAGGCAGAAAACATATCAACAGTTATATGTACGTATTTAGATCGATGAGACGACTGAACATAAGTAACATGAGTTCGCCATAATTCATTGGCACATGAACCTCTTGGATTTACTCCTGCTGGAGTATTTGAAGGCACAATAAGTTGACAGTCAGGGAAGCCGCGTATAATCTGCTGAGCTTGATCTGCTGTCTGACCTGATGG